CAAGGCCCTCTCAAGGTGACAAAACACATTTCCCACCACTTGAGAGCTGCGCACAATACATGCCCTACGAGCCTGCCCTCATTAAGTTGGCTCTGTCCGGCTGTTCTAGGCCACTGAGTAGAACCAGGGTACTGAATGATCAGACCCCACTCCTGCCCGCCAAGAGGTCAGAAAAAGAAAGGCCCCTTCACATAGGTTTACCTGGTCTGGGCTCCCACATATGTCCTCTCTGACTCCCATGTTGCCTAGATTTGATCTGAGTATGTGCCTTCCCCTAATGCCAATATAAGGACATCTACCACACCCTCAGGAAAGGCCTGAGCTTTGTGGTTCATCCTTTATTGAATGGAGTCCTTCCCCCTCCCCCTAGTTTGGTCTTTTCAGTAATAATAGGGTGATTATCCCCATGTCAAGGAAAGGGAAACTGAAACTTGGCCAGATTGGGCTCCAGATAACTTCAGCTATCCCCAGATGGCAGGTGCACTGGGCTGAGTCAGCTGCCATTCCTCAAAGTGCCTGTGATTGATTTATCTCCCCAGGCTATGTGATCATCCACAAATTGGTTTTCTATTAGTGTCCAGGTGGCCTCCCTGAAATACTGGCTTATGACAGTCTGCCCTCCCTGGCCACTTCTTCTATCAGTCTTCTGCAAGCAGAGACAGGAGCTACCCTAAGTAAATTAGGGTCACGGTGGATTTGTGTTGTGCAGCAGAGACGTATGAACATCTTTTGGTGTGACACCTAGTAAGGAACACACAGCATCCCATACACAGCACACCCACCAAACCAAGTTTTACAGGCGGCACTTACCCTTAACACGTCATGCACTCGGATTTTTTTTTTTTCTAGTCTATTTCTTTTAATGCTGGTTTCACCCCCCCTCAAATGATTTAACAACCCATGAATAGGTGCTAACCTATAGTTTGAAAACTACTCTTCTTCAGGGAAAAACCAAGCCCTTAGCGAGAAACAGATAAGCAGGGCTCATAAGGTAAGAAAGTTTGAATCCCACTTTGAATCCTGATGAGAACCAGATGCCACATCTCAGCCACAGCCAAGCAGTACCTCCAGTGGTGATGAGTAGCTTCTTTTGGGATTTAAGGGGCATTGGCAGCTCCTGCAGAGACAGCACTAGCACCACCTTAAATCATTGAAACAAGGTAAAATAGACACCAGATTCCATTTGTCAGCATTGATGTGCCGTGCATCACAATCACTTGAGGTTGGGATCAGGGGGAGGGGGTGATTAAAAGCAGGAATCTGCTGAAAATCAAACTCTGTAAAAGATGGGCATATGTCCTTTTTAAAAATATTCACCTAGATGATTCTGATGCTGGCCATTTACCAATTACCATTTGAGAACCAATTCACCGGCAGACTTATTGTAATTAAATCGAACCAGGGACCCAGAGGTAATACCCCCAAACCTAACACTGCATCAACTCGGATCCACAAGAATTCCTCCCTCTGAACTTGTAAGCTATGACTTTGGGTGGTGGTCAGATAGAACAACATACAAATTTTGTAGCAAAGAAACCCACACCTGAAACCTATATGTTCATATTAAACACTGTCACCCCAGTAAATTTAATAAAGTGTTATATTAAAAAAAACTTGTAAACATTTTGGTTGCTCCACAGAGCTCAGCGACAATGAGACACTATGTCCTGTTTTGCTCCAAGTCTTGTACGTATTTGTCGTCCCACGTAGACCACAGGCCGAGACACAGAGTGCTTAATACTTGACTCTCGGGGCTCTGTAGGAGTGAAGAAGTGTGTGTGCTGGGAAGGCTAAGGGCTTTTTCCAGGGCCCTGACCTCCAAGGCATGCTTACAGAGCAGACACTGTTTGTAGGAAGGCCAGCGCGCAGGCGAGTGTGCTTGCTGGTTTGGAAGGGAAGGAAACATGCACACGTAGGCTGCGCTTTGCACATTTCCCATGCTAGCCAGACACAAGAATACTCGAATGTATTATTCTTGCAGCTATTCCACACTTGGTTCCCAGAGCTTGGGAGGCAAAATGCCACTTGGGTGCTGTCCTTTCCATGCATAAGCCATCACCAAGCTTCAGCTGCACATCGAGGTAGCTCTCAGGCACAGGACCCTCTCTTTGAAAGGTTTCAAGTCCCGTGGCTTTCATCTGCCAGCCTGGGTCTGACTGCCTCCCAGGAGTCAGCAAACATTTTCTGTAGAGAATCAGATAGTAAATATTTTAGGCTTTGTGGGCCAGATGGTCTTGAGACTACTCAACTACACCGTTGCAGCTTGAAAGCAGACATAGATAATACATAAAGGAATGGACATACTATGATCCAATAAAACTTTATTTAAAAAAAACAGTGGTCTTGCAGAACCGTGGCTTGCCAACCCCTGCTCTGGAGCAGCAGCTCTCAAACTCTGGTCCCCCTTTCTTCCAGCCTCAGCAGCATCACCTGGGAACTTGTTAGAACTGTAAATCCTCGGGCCTTAACTCAGACCCACTGAAGCAGACACTCTGGGGTGGGGCCCAGCAGCCTGGGTTAAAATTTCGCCAGGCCATTCCCGTGCGGACACAAGTTTGAGAACCAGTGCTCTAGGTCCTGTGCCGAACCTGCCTGCTCCAGAGAGCGGTCCATGGTTAGCCGCCTGTACCTGCTCCCCTTCACCCCTCACACATTTAGGTACACTTAATACTTAATTAACTATTTTGTACCTCGAGTTTTGCTCCCTGCTTGTTTCATGCCTCTATATTTTGCCTCCCAAATCAATGGAAAACCTCTTGAAGAGAGTCTATGTCTTTGACTTCTGTCTCCACCCCTTCATTGCTTTGTTTTAAGCATTTAATAAAGGCCAGAGGGCCTTTCCTTTATTACCTTCTTGGATCTGAGAGAAGATTGTTACCTATAGAATTTTCAACCCATTACTCATTTTTCAAAACTATACATTAAGTGCCAGGCCCTGTTTTAAGGCACAAGTCCCTGCCTTCATGGAACTTACATTCTAGTGGGGGATACACAACAACACATAAATATGTCAATAAGCACTATGAAGAAAAAGAAAGCAAGATAGCGTGATGGTAACTGGGAGGGTGGATGGGATTTTAAACAGCACCGTCAGAGCAAAGGAAGGCCTTGTATTCCTGT